CTTCAGGTTTCAAAGCATCACCTTTTCTCTAGTCATCATGAAGGGAATTTAAGAGCATGTTTCAGATAAACTGATTGTCCTTTGGAGCAAGACTCCTAGAATTTTAGTAAAGTAGTAACCAAATAAGGCACGCTGGGTTGCAACCTTTGCTAAATGGAGCAATCCACAGGGCCAGTGAATTAGCTCTGCTTGCAGTATGCTCCTGGGTTTGCTGGTGATGAACTATACACATGCTTGATGTTTAACAGACCTTCCTTCATATTAAATCTGAGACATATGGCAGCCATTACTGAAAGAAAGCAATGCATTTTTTCACTGTCAGCAACTTTGATGCTGAAACGGAACAACAGTTCTTACAGCACACCCAGCACACTATCTCCTCCCAATGGGTCTTTCTAGTCTTTTTAGCCCTTCTTGTCTTTCTCAGGCTTGTGGGTTGTTCTAGTCTCAAGCATGTACATCAGTGCTCAAGGACATGCTACCACCCTCTGCAGTTGCTGATGCTTCTTACTTTTAGATTTTTTTAAGTACAGATTCTCTTATTACATTGATTAACAACGAGGACGGCAGGAGGCATATGGAGCAAAAATCCTGTGATAGCTTGTGACATCTTCCTCAAACTAGAATAATCCCAAGAGTATCTTTTAAAAGGTCTCCAAAACTCACAGAGAGGGCATTCACAGTATTTTTACTGTAATAATTTTTCCACTTCCTTTTATTGTCATGCAAATACCTTGCATACTATTATTTTGGGAGATTGTTTGTGTTTCATTGATATTTGCCTTTTCTCAGCTTTGCAAGTTAGAAATGATGTCATTAGCACAAAATTCTTAGCGCCCTCTTACTGAAAATAAGGCCCTGGAAAGTGTCTCAGGTTGGATACTCAAAACAAAAAGCCTCCCAAACCATTAGTCATTTTTGAAAATCTTGGCCATGGTCTTTTATTAGGCTATAAAACTTTATCACCTTATATTGCACCCTTTAAATAATAAATAGTAACACCAGATGATGGAGGACTGAACAAAACAAATGTATGATAGAGAATATGTGCGTAATCTTGAAGATTTCATGGAAAGCAGGCCTTTCTGCAAAGTCTGCTTGGGAACACAAGCAGTCACTTGTTCCTGTAGAGAAATTTCCAAAACTTTTGAGTGCATGTGAGAATACATATTACAGCCATCGCATCATTTTTCCTGATTTTGAGGACATTTCTTGTCATTTTCTTCTGCTCTTTGTTTGCATCAGAAGAAATAAAAATTCACATTACTGAGACAGTCTTGGATAATGTTTTTGTTCTCCTCTTCTCCTAGTGAAGAACTGCTTTTTTGAATGGATGGCAGCATATGTGTTTGATAAGGATCGGATACCTGGCCTCCAAATACACAAAGGGCAGACTGTGACTTGCTGGGCAGTAGTTCATACAAATAGTCCCTCTGCCTGTCACAAGGTAACCAGCAAGTCCCTCTGCCAGTGACCTCTCTGATAACATAATGAACATCTGTACATGATTAACAGGTTAAAGGGTAAATTCAGACCCCCATGAAGCATAAGATAAATCAATCTCCCTTTTTTCATTAAATGTGCAATATCTGGCAACTTGTATTTAAGTCTGTCATAACAGATATCTGCCACCAGGACTCACTTTTTTAAACCCTTCAGTATAATATTCTTGAAGGTCTCCGCTTGCTCTTTAATATGAACAGACCTCAGTGCCTCCATATCCTCTCTACACACTCTGTGAAGTTTTAGCACAAATGCAAACCAGTTTTACGTTGCAGTGCCTGGCTTTTACAAGAGTCATAGATGCGCTTTTCATGGTGAAGCCTCCTTAAATCACTCACAACTGAACACGGAACTATTTTAACCTTCATACAGTAGTGCCTCTGCCTCTCCCAATCCTCTCCTCCATGGACTCCAGCTGACATGTGGTACCACATCTGCTGTGAGAGGTCAAAGTAAATGTTTTAAGGCCTAGGTTTTTAAAGTGACATTCATAATGAAAAGATTAATACATTACATCTAATTTTTGGGCTTATAATTAGTACCTCTGCTTAAAACTAGAACTTTTATTTTTAGGTATAGAAGTAAATTAATTTCATTTAATTTAAACTTTAGAAATATGCAGCTTAGTATGCATGAAGGAATAAATTTTATGCCTGGCTTATAAGAAAGCCCTAATAATCTCTAAGGATCTGGAGTTCCAGCAGAGTGAAACACTTAAGCACTTGTGTTACTTTTAAGCACATACTTAAACCATGTAAAAATTACTGGATGTGTTTTTTCTTAAACAAAAAACAAGGTACTACAAACACATATACAAGAAAAAAAAATTATAACATATTTAACATTAGCCTTGCTGAAGTCAGTGGAAGCTGCCCATGTACATAAGGGTTGTTTTCCTTTTTTTGATTACCTGTCTTTTTGTCTCCTCTACTTCTAAACTTCTTTTGAGACATTCTTAGTTCAGGAAGCAAAGTATTAACCATTATGAAATAAGTGGTCAGAGGTTTTATTGTTAAAATAAATTAGATGAAATGGAATTAAAATAATTATTTAAAGAATTTGTAAAGCTAATATAAACTCGTAAAAGGTACAAGAATATATTTTAGGTTTCCAGTATTTTCATTAGATTTTTCCTTGAAATACTTATGTCATTCTTCTGTCTTTGAATGTGGATAGTTCTCCTGATATTAAGTTGTCGCTTTAAGCTTGGACTACAAAAAGAAATCAAAAAACCTCCAAAATACTTAATGTGAGAAATATGTCTATGCCTTGGATAGCAAGTTGGCTGGAAAGAGTTTACTTTAGATCAATGGTAAAATGAGATAATTAATTTGTGCCCTGATAATTAAAACCAGACCTCACTGCAGTTGGCACTGGAGAGTATGATAACTTTGTAGAAATATATGCAAATAACTCTCTGAATAAAAAGGAAAAACTATGATTTAATCTTTAAAGAAATGAAAATATGTTATTAAAAAATTCTTAGCAAATGCTTTTGCTATCTTCTTCTCCTAATCAAGAATTATGTCTTTAAATGGCATGGCAGCATCTGCATTTAATAAAAATCAAATAAAATGTTTCCGTAGAAACAGATGGCACTGTTTTTACTTCTTTGTGGCCAGTTCAGGTATTATGAGAATGAATTATGATGTAAGTGAGCTTTGCGTGTAAAGTTATCTTCTGACAAAAAAAATTAAGAAAGGTACATTTTGTTACCTGTTTCATCCAGACCAGTTCCTCTCATCTGCTAAAATGTAAAAATCAAATGCCCTCAGATCTGTGTCTGCTTGATATTAAAGTCAGGATTTCCTGTCTTTTCCTGCCTAGGTGCTGAGGTGCCTTCGTTATTTTAGGGGTTAAAAGCTGTAGCCACTGATGCGTATATATTAGGCTGTATTCATAGAACACGGCTTGTAGCCTGACTCAAGCTATTACAGTCTAACAACAGTGACCAATAGAAAGAGAAGAAGATCCAAGAAAGCTGAGGTAAGCCCAAACTCTGAAGCAATGTCAAATTAGAAACAATAGCTAATAAAGTGTGGATGGTAATACATCTGGGAATACTAACATGGACTTCAAGTTTTATATGCTATTAATTCTTAGGAGGACAGGAAGCAAACACAGTGGTTAGCAGTCAAAGGCTGTGAATTTACAGTGATTTCTAACTGGCTTCAGATAGCTCCAGGAACTTGACTAACAAGGTAAATTACTTTATATTTCTGTTTAAAAATGTTATTAAGAATATGAATATTTACACAGTGAGAAGGTGCCATTTCATTGTGTAAATTAGAGATGTTATTCTTTAGAAATAGTTCATTTGTCCTTTTTTGGAATGCTTCCAGATAGCAGTTTCTGAGGCTGGAAAATCTGTAGGGTACTGCACTTGTTACTGCTAATAACAATATTGAAAACTGTTAAATGACTATGTATCATATGCAACAACTTAACTGAGCTCTTAATCTTACTGGTGCATTAAGTGTGTGAGAGAATTTACTTTTATTTAAATATTGGTTTTGCCAAAAATAACCTCCTAATTTTGCCTAGAAATTTCAGCTATCAGTCTCTTGCCTCTGCATTGCAAAATGCTTGCTAATCTTCATCAGAAAGCAAGCAAGATAACAGAGTTTGTAAAGCACTGTTTTGTGCTACACAGATATTTCCTTTGGGATGATTTTGTTCATTGTTTAATGGTGGAAGAGGCTAAACAAAGCAAATAATTAAGTAGGTAAAATAGATACAAGATGCATGAATATATATGACATAATTTGGTTAGGATTTACTTTTTGTGACATTTAGATCAGTTTTGACTGTTTTAGAGAAGGAAATTCATAACTTTGGATATGAGAGAGTGAATGAGGGAGGGGAATGGATTACTCAAACATATTCCCTCCAAGCTTTTTAAGAACATGCCCAACAAACAGCTGTTAAAACACTCTTTGATCTTTCACTTTTCTGTGATGAAAAAAGACCCTGGAAAATCTGATCCAGATGCCATTATAATTTATGAGAGAGGAAAAACAGGAAAGAGGGTATGATTAATTTTAAAAGGAGGAACACTGAGTACAATAGTATTTATATCATCATGGTATTGATAGCTTTACTGAATATGGAACATTATATAATGTAGTTTATAACTCTGCGCAGGAAAACTTAAACCACTTTATAAGAAACATTGATTTAATGTCAGAAAAATATCCGTGTTCTCATGTTCTTTGAAATGACACTTGCATGAACATCAGTTAAACTGGTAGCCAAAGTGGAGTCTAAGTTGAATCAGGAAAATATTCATTAACATATAGCACTGAATGTTTTATACCTCTTATATTACTGTTAAGTTTTTCCTTAACGTGCCATAGGTAATACAGCAGAGGACAGAATTTGGCTGTTTATAAAGGAAATATTATTTTCTATGTAATGCTGCTTTGTTAATCCAGTATGCTGTTAGAGAGTTCTGTTGAGAGACAGCTAATTGTTTTTCTCCCCTTCCAAGGCAAACAATGGCTCTAAAAGTCTATACAAGCCTTTTGCTCTTATTCTTGGTCAATTCTGTGTGGACTCGAACTGTGAGACAAGCTTATGATGAGATGGAGCCTGACCATTGGTCTCACTACACTTTTGAGTGTCCAAGAGAGTGCTTTTGTCCTCCTAGCTTCCCCAATGCATTGTACTGTGATAACAAAGGACTTAAAGAAATACCTGCAATCCCAGCAAGAATTTGGTACCTCTATCTTCAAAACAATCTAATTGAAACAGTTTCAGAGAAACCGTTTGTGAATGCCACTCATCTGAGATGGATAAATCTGAACAAGAATAAGATCACCAACAGTGGAATTGAGAATGGTGTGCTGAGCAAGCTGAAAAGGCTGCTTTACTTATTCCTTGAAGATAATGAATTGGAAGAGGTGCCTGCCCCATTACCAGTGGGCCTGGAACAGCTAAGGCTGGCTAGAAACAAAATCTCCAGAATCCCAGAAGGAGTCTTCAGCAACTTGGAAAACCTTACTATGTTAGATCTGCACCAGAACAGTTTGTTGGACAGCTCTCTTCAAAGTGACACCTTCCAAGGACTCAACAATCTCATGCAACTCAACATAGCAAAAAATTCACTCAAGAAAATGCCCTTAAGCATTCCAGCTAACACACTGCAGCTGTTTTTGGACAACAACTCCATTGAAGTGATACCAGAAAACTACTTCAGTGCAATACCCAAAGTAACTTTCCTTAGGCTGAACTACAATAAATTGTCTGATGACGGTATTCCCCCAAATGGGTTTAACGTTTCATCTATTTTAGATCTACAGCTGTCTCACAACCAGCTCACTAAAATTCCACCAATCAACGCTCACCTCGAGCACCTTCACCTTGATCACAACAGAATCAAAAGTAAGTGTGTATTGTCAGTGTGGGATCCTACCAAGACGTAATTTTAAAATGCTTTCTTAACTACAAAAAATGTTCTTTGAAATAAAGAGATTAAAAATGTGCTGTATATTATAGGGAGATGAGCAAGAAGACCTCCCACAGGCCAGTTTTCAAGTCAGGTCTAAAATATGACAATCAAATACATGCATAGAAATAATACCACATGTCAAAAATGTTCATATGCATATAGAAAAAAACATTCCACAAGCAGATCAGAAATATGAGTGGATTAAGGAGAAATTGTGCATTTACATTTTGCTATATACATGCCAGTAACCATTTTGTGGGAACAAATTACGTTTGTAAATAAGCAAGAAATTTTAAAAAGTGGGTGCAACAAGTTAGGATATTCAATCCACATCTGTATGACTTGATTTTCAAAGTTCCTGAACACCTTAGGGACTTCACTAAACTAACAGAATTGCTGTATGCTCAGTTCTTCTGAGTATCTCTCTGCCCACCTAAATTATGTAATAGGAGCTTAAGGTAAGGCACCCTTAAAACAGAATAAAATGTTGGCTGTAGTCAACACAATCTATTTCCAATACGACTATGTGGATATTAAATATTTCAAGCTTGAATATCCTCCCCATCTTTTATTTACTGTGCACAAAATGCTGACACTTGGGATTGGTCTTCATGAAAAATCTTTTAACTGACAGAAGCTTTGTCCTACTAAGCTTCCTCTCCAACTGTCTTCTAGCATTTTCCACTATATGTAAGTGAGACAAGGTTTTGTACCCAAGACAACAGAAGCCTGTTGTCATGTCATAGTTCTGCTTCTAGTGCTGCTTCCAGATTCATCTAGGTACAGCAGGGATGTGGTGGTCAGGGACACTGGGTAAAGTATTGGCTCAGTAAGTCCTACAGACCTTAAGCCCTTTGTTCCGTACCAAAAGCCAAAATCGCAGTGATGACTTTCTATTTATCTCTGCACAGAAGGTAACAAAGTCTCTAAACTTGTCTTCCTGTCATGGTGATTTAATTGAATAAATTGTTCCTTACTCCTGTTGTGTGCCACTGTAGTTCACAAATATACTAAAAATAATGGTTTGGCTTCTGTATGAAACCAGGACATATCAAAGAAAGATACCTATTAATAATTTAGGTTAATTCACTGCATTTTACAAAACAAATGAAGGAAACCTTGTAAAGAAAAGTAAATTTTGTACAACTGTCACATATTTAAGTGGCCTGCAAGAAGTCCAACAGTTAAATAGTACTAGGGCTTATGACCTATGTTGTTACTGAACATATTTCATTGCCCTCTGGTTACAAAGGGATTTATTTTAATTGCTTCACTGCAGGGCCTCAGGTGCAGACTTTATCTCCTGTCAGTTTAAGGGGACACTAAATTGAAATCAATGGAATGTACCCTGTCCAGTTTAAGAAGTATTTTGTGTCTAGGTAGTATATAAAGAGCTGCCAAATTATCTTCCTTTCCTAAATAACTTTAAAAAAGGTTAAACCCATGAAAAACAACGTGTGTAGTATGTGCAAACTCAAGTCTCATTTTCCAATGACACATGGGTACTCATAAGCTTAAATCACAGTATTTTTCCAGAAGCTTTATATTCTTTAATGCCTTTACAACTTTTCAAAATTCATTACTAACTTAAGCAAAACACTGCTCTTAATTAAAAAAAAAAAAGTTTTAATTTTTGGTAACTACATCTAAAGTAGTCAAAGAAAAGGCAACTTGACGCCTTAAATGAAATGTAGGTATTATGTAAGGCACATTCTACCACACAGCTTGATTGTTCAAGAGGTAGATAATGACATAGTCTTCATGAGACGCTGCTCTAATAGACAATATCTCAATGGGCCTTTAGGATCGCAAACAAGGAATGCAATTCCATCAGGCAGGAGTAATAAGATGTGGCATTAATTCAGCAGATTGTTTTTGTCTTCTTAAACCCAGGTTGCTGATGATTAATTTAAGATAACCAATGTAAAAGGTTTGAAAGAAAAATAACTGTAAAATCCTGAATCTGGTCTCTACACAAAAGAGTCCTCCTGAAAATTTACTTTTATGTGTGCAGTACAGGCCCTTCTTATAATATTAATTCTCAGATACCCCTGCAAACCTGCCAATTACTGCTTTATTTTCTCTTGGTGGTTCATAATTACACTGCTAGCATTGCAAGAGCTCAGACATCAAAATTTCTATGTAAATACTATTTGCCTACGTTATATTATATGTTATTGTATAACAGTTCTTCATATAAGTCCAAGGCCGTATTTCTCTAGAGACCATATATGAAGGTATAAGGCAATATCCTGAAACTCAGTGAAGTCAATTACAGCCTTATCATTGGTCTCACTGGAACCTGGATTTTGTCTGTGGTCCCTTCCCCAGGGATCTCAATATGAAGAGGGAAGAAAGTACTTGAAAGTTGGAAGCAAAATCAACATAAACCAAAAACTAATTATAGCTACAACAGATATGCATTGCACTTGTTCCATGGCATTTTAAACCCCGTGTGTTTACACATTTACTAATGAGATAAACATGTGGGGCTCTGGGGACATGTCAAATGATGGAAAAGGGAATGTAAGAGGCAGTAAAAAGAGGAGAAGGCATGAGACAGTGATGCAGCAAGTGAGCAAGGGTAAGAAGGTGGTGTTACAGTGCTATCAAAGGAGTGATAGAAGGGAGAAAACAGTAAATTCCCCTAGAGGAACAACAGGAGACTGGGATAGCTCCCTTGAGTTAATATTATTCCATGTGTAGAGGAAGGGAGAGGTCCTTGAGCAAAGTAGCAATGCCAGTCGTTCAGAATCCATTATAGGATATTTGGAAAGAAATGGTTGAAGTTACAGATCCCGACTGATTGTCAGACCCTTGCACTATAGTTAGTACTAGCTTCTTTGCTGGAAGAGCCCCAAAAGGTATAGATTTCCAGGCTGATCCATGGTTGCTGCAGTTAAATATGTGAAAAGAAGAGAGGGAGTCCAACAATTCAAGTTGGACTACAGTGCATGCAGCTAGAAGTTACAAGAATGAACAGATATACCCTCACGCTCATGTATGTCAGAACACATTTATCTTCTAGATCAACTTACTTTCTGGATGTTTCTAAATTATGAGATTTACTGGGAAAGAAACCGGATCTTCTGTAATTCTTCAGCAGATATACAGCACTAGGCATTAATGAGAACCCCTTCTGCATTTTTTCCTCTTCAGCAGCTCCACAGTCTCATTTTAAAATATTACACCATTTAACAATACTGTTGACAACAGGTGGAATTCATCTTATTTGAATTAACCATCCTAGATTCTTGTATCCAATTTGGGTTAATCATACAGACCACCTACTCAGCTAATGGAAAGAGATACACAACTCCAGAGGAAAAATCATCCCATCTTAAGGAGCTGTGAATCACATTTTGGAAGTATTAATTTCTCTCCAGAGTTTATAAATGGAATCTAAATGGTTTACTTAGACTGACATGGATCAGTTTAGGTAGGGTGAATAGTACCCATGCAGATGGATTACCTTGTCCCTCCTGCTTAAGCAAAATTCAGCAATATACCCATGACCATGATTGCAAGATAAGAGGAGAGAGGCTTTTACTCCTCTGATAGTTTGGGTAGGGTTTACTGCTCATGGGAAGAGAACAATAAAAAAACAAACCACTTGTTAATCATCAGGAAATATCTTCTTCATAGTTAGATAACTGCTGCCTCACTTCAATGTTGGAGTAATTAACCCAGTGAAAATTACTACAGTGGGACACTTTCTAACAGAGATTTAGAATATACTTGAAACCGTCTTGCCTCCTAAGGACAGTATTGCTGACCTGAAAAGGCAGAGATTTTCTCCTACATAGTGTTGATTCACTTGTAAAGCTTTTGATAACTGCTTTCCTAACAAAACCTCACTCTCAGTCTTCCTCCTTCATTGCTTCACACATAAAAATGAGTTCTAGTTTATTTCTTCTAAGTATATCAAATATTCTACAATCAGATTTCACAACATAGGCAAAAAAAATTTAATATCATATATATGATAAAAGTTTTAGGCCAACTTGATGTATTTATCACCTTGGCCAAGTGGATGTATTTCTCTAGTTTCCACCACAAAGTCCATTTCCAAGATGCTGCAAATGTCTTGAGAGCTTTTCCAAAATAGGGTGGTTTTTTTTTCTTTTGGGCAAAAAAAAGCCATGGGGTTTTTTTCATCATAACATTTAACCAGTTTGGGGGATTGTAATCAAAAGATGTGTGCATATTATAACCACTAAATATAAGGGGAGAAAAAATTTTGTAGAAAGCTTTTCTTTTCCTAGTTCTGGGCTGCTATAAAAACTGTGTTTAAAAAAAGCCACACTTAAAAAACCCTGTTGCACACACATTCTCCCTTCAACCACTTTTTTGCAGGTGATCTGGGGCCACCAAGATCCTCAAGCAGTCAGACCAATCACTAGATACCATAATTTGGTTGAAGGAATTTGCCATCTTTGATAAACAAACACCACTTCAATGTTTTCTAGGCTAAGACCATTCTGAGGCTGAAATAGGAGAGTGGCAGCCTCACTATTCAACAACTGAAGAGAAAATATGAAAAGCATTTTAGCCAAGTGACAGTGCAGAAGTAACTTACAGGAGACAGTAAAAAAAACTTAATCTACTCAATTCTTATGAAAATGGGAAATTATTTAAGCCATAGTTTCAAATTTTATCTGAAATTATGTGTGATTTATAAAGAATTTTAAAATCTTGTTGGCTTTCAGATTAGGAAGAAAAATATCCCATTGCACAAGTTATTTTCTTCCAGTTAAAACCAACTCTACTGAAGAATTGGAGAGAACAGGAAAGTACAGATGTTAAAAGTTACAGACACTATACAAAAAGCTCCTCTGATTCAATACTGTTACCATTTTGAATGCAAGCTCTTCATTCGGGAATATTATCTGCTAAAATTAATGTACTGTCATTGCAGTAAAATGTTAAAAATCCCTCAGCATTAACCTTGTTCTGCTCCCTCTGAGGGCAGAGAGCTATATCTCAATAAACAGTTGCCCAGTAGATGTCTAAATTAGTTTCCTGTCTGTCTGAGGTAACATTATTCATCTAGTGGCCTTTATTCATAATTACAACACATTAAATAAATATGAGATTCACTCATCTAGATTACATTATGTTAAGATTCTTTTTTGCTTGATCAAAACAGCAGTTAATCATTAATTTGTCATTTTCCAACTCTGCCAGGAACAAGTGTCTCCCATAAAAATATCAGTGGAAGCCTGCGTTACTTGTTTTCTAAATGAATTTTGTCTCATGAACCTTTCCCATGGAAATTACCTAACATGTTGATCTACATTTTCAGGTGTCAATGGTACTCAGATATGCCCAGTCTCAATTGCTGTAGCAGAAGACTATGGTTTTTATGGCAACATCCCTCGCCTCCGATACCTTCGCCTGGATGGAAATGAAATTCAACCTCCAATCCCATTGGACATCATGATATGTTTCCGACTACTTCAAGCTGTTGTCATATAAGGATATTGCAGTGTCACTCTTGTGCCGTGAGAGTGCCATGATACAAGTTTTGCTGGAATGAAACTTGTTCTAACTCATAAATCAAGAAGTAACATCTTTATTTTGACTTTCATTTTTTCTTTGCTTGCATCTTTTCTATGGCTGAAAAGAGTGTTCTTCTTTCAGAAGAGATTTTGGATGGACATGAAACATGTGCTTTACCTAAGAATCCCTAATGCAAATATGTTGAAAATCATCTGTGTAAGATCCCAAACATTCCAAAGCAAATTGTTGTCTACTCCATCTTTCTTGTCAAATGCTACATGCCTGTTAACATCATGGCTACAGACAAATTAATTTCCTTATTTTGTTACATAGTAACTAGCACAATTAATTTGTGTGCACTTGGCTAAATACATACTCTAGAAAAATCATGTGTTGCATGACTACTGGTTATCAGAACTGCCACTGTCTTTTTTAAGATAGTGACTAATGGTGGACAACCACTTAAAATGTAAATAGCTCATATACTGCTGTCCTCCTTTGAAGAGTGATACTTTTAAGGCATGAGGTATATGAGGCTCAGAGTACAAAGCCATGTAATGAATATATATTGCTGTATGGATTCATTCAGTGTATGATTTCAGATTTGGAATACACTGATACAATTCAAATCCAGGAACAAGGGAGCATGAGTTGAAATCTTGGTCTATCAAAGTGCCAGTTGTCTGCTGTTTCATTCTTCGGTATTCCATTTCTAATTTTGACACCATTTCTTTCTGTAGCTTTGGGATAGTCATTGAATATTTGGTTTCTTTTAGTTTCCATAAAGAAACCATAAAACCCAGTAACAGTAATGATAACATATTTCACAGACCAGGTTCTCCACAAAAATGGGAATGGCTAGTTAATATAATGGTGATAAAGAGAAAATTAAGAAATTAAGAGATGCATCCCCTCCCCATTATTTACTGAACTAGCCAAATATTTGCCTAGGAATTGTAGCATTTTAAGCAAATACAATAAACTCAGAGCAGTATTTAGCTATCTGCTGACGCATATGCACGCACATCATAACACTGGGTTTTAGAGAAGTCCAGGTATTTAGAATACAGCACATTCACAATTCATCAACAAGGAAGATACCAGTGGGCATCTTTTTATGAAATCTGGTTGGTTTTTCTTCCTATTTTTATAAGGTAATATTGGGATTTCGATACACAACTTGAATATTAGAGTCAACTATTCACTGGGAGAGTATGACATTTTTTGTTTCTGATAGCCAGCACAACAGACATCAGTCATATTACTTTAGTTGTCTTGTATTTGTAGATACAAACAATTAGTTGCTTTTTGATAGTTTGCATCTATTTCTAGTATTTTAAGACTGGCCTCAGTAACAAGCATTTAAAGACTATGCATGTGGTATAATTATCTCTTTGAAGATGAAGCATTTTCTTAAGAGTAGATTTTTAAAAAGGTTGAGAAATGCAATTTGTAACATTCAGTCTCTTTTTATCTGAAAATCAGGCCTTATTCTGCTCCAGTGCACTTGTGGAAATAACCCAGTATGGAAACCCAGCATAGAAATAACCCATTCAGAAATTCACAAAAACATTTATTTTTGCCATTCTTTTTATTTGATTGCTGAGAAACTCCTGTCCTTCTAGCAAAATATTTCCTGTACCTCTGTGTTCACCCTATATGAAAAAATATAGATTTAAAACATTTCTACAATATGTATGCATGTTTACCTATGTTCTTTACCCAATAATAGCATAGTAATTTATTTTTTTGAAAAAAAAAAACCCTATGTGACAATACTACTAATTAAATTATAACAATAATTATATGCTTGTACTTGAAAATTAATTTCTACTTTAAACAAAGAACAAATATACAAACTACAAAGTGAATATTCACAGGCATATATGCATATTATTAACATTATTTACAGTTCTAACTGATCGTGCAGCAAAGTGTCTTGAAGTTCCAGTCAAAACTTATGACCCTTTTAGGCACTATGTAAATATTGAAACGGAAAATACTAACCCTTCCCCAAAGAGATGTCAAGCTTATATATGAGAAAGGATCATATGTAAAATCATACAGAGATACCGGAGCATCAAGGTACTCAATTTTCTTGATAGACACATTATGTGATAAAATTGGGGCACATAATCTGATGAAATCACTTCTAGCAGTTATTTTCCACCAGCTGGTCTGATATTAATGGAATTTTCCAATCCACTGTAGGGTGTAAAGCCTTATAAATTCTTCAAAGGTCAGTACTATCTTATGGAACAATCTTTGGATACATGCAGATTGATGTCCAAGACTTGTCCCTGTCAAATCCTGGTTAATCTAAGTGAAGACAAAAATTCATGATACATTTTTGGACAAACTTTTATTGGGCTGAAGAGCTAACGCTGCCAAGTGTTCCGTGTTCTACACCTTTGATGCAACCCTATGGCTCCACATCTGGGAAATGTTTAATAAAGAGAAAATGCTAAGTATCCTCATTTAGGCTAATTTGTCCCATCTTGATTCTCTCTCCCAGTATGAAGTAGAATGAAGAATAGTTATGATACTGCAATGATCTTCACAAGATAAATCAATGCTGTTTATGGTTTGACCTGCTTTACTGCATGCATGTCTCTATTTGCAACAGTCCTAAAGTTCTTAAACATTCTGGGAAAGTTGGTGAAATTCCCCCTCAGATTACAATAGCAGGCCTAAATTGCGTTATTGTGTGGAACTAAACAATGTAGGCTTTCAGCCACGTCTCATTCAATCCATTCATTATGCCAGAATAAAGGAAAATGTAAAACACAATGTCCTTTTCCCTATGAAGAGGGTCCTTAAAACAATATAAAAAGCATCATTGTGCTTGAAAGTCTGATGTTAATTCTTCCTAATCAAAGATTGTTCTGAGATTCCCCACTGATATTTCCTGGTTCAGAAAAAAAAATTGCAGTGTCTTCCACTGCAAGGAGGGAGGAACAGACCTCTCAGCTGTCCTGTGTGAACCCACAGCTGCCTTCATAAAGCTGATATTTATTTCACTTAATTGTCAGAGCACATTGCAAACAGTTTTGAATGGAATATGTACAGAAACACAAGTATGAGAAGCTGAGAGCAAAGCAAGTCACCTTAAGCACACTGCAGTTGTGGTCAATGGCTAACCAAGCCACAGACACCTAGTGCTTTGCCAGAAATGCATTTTACATAGGAGTTAATTTTGAAATTACGGTCATTAACACAGATGTGCTATCACCTCAGCCCAGGGTACTGACAGTTGCTCTGTAAAGAAAAAGCATTAAAGCAAATTGAGATGCTCAAGAACTGAGAAATACCCGGACATTTCTGACACATCTGCCAGCTTGATTGCAGGCTGGATGCTGGAGCTATCAAAAGACTCTGTGGTTTTATAATGCAGCTGGCTCTGCGGGAAGAAAAGTCCTTTATAGATGCTGCCAGCATAGTTAAAAATTCAGCCATATTCCTACTCCATACTCTTCTCTGGCATTTTCTATTTCTTTCTCAATATTTTAAACAGCTTGCTACTACTTTCGTCTTCAAAGTTTTTCATGAAAAACACCACCACAACAATCATCTGCAGAGATGCCAGTGACCGGAGCAACTTGTATGACACTTGAAGGAAGAAACACAAAGAGGTAAAAATCTGGAAGACAACTAGAAAGCAAATTTGCATGTTTGTAATTACTAACTCCAACAAATACCCTGTGTTACTGAAGGGATTTTCATTCACCCATTTGTTTGCCACAAATACTTGCTGTCATTTTTCCAGCCTAGAAAAACTATTTGCTAATATTGTCATAGAATCATAGCATGTCTTGGGTTGGAAGAGACCCTTAGAGGTCATCTAGTCCAACCCCCCAGCAGTGAGCAGCGACACCGCTAACTAGATCAGGTTGCTCAGAGCCCCATCCAACCTGGCCTTGAATGTTTCCAGTAATGGGGCCTCCACTACCTCCTTTGGCAACCTGTTCCAGTGTTTCACCACCCTCATTGTAAAGAATTTCTTCCTTATATCCAGTCTAAACCTACCCTGTTTTAGTTTAAAACCATTACCCCTTGTCCTGACACAGCTGGCCCTACTAAAAAGATTTTCCCCATCTTTCCTATAGGCCCCCTTTAGGTACTGAAAGGCCACAATCAGGTCTTCCTGCAGCCTTCTCCTCTCCAGGCTAAACAAGCCCAACTCTCTCAGCCTGTCTTCATAGGAGAGGTGCTCCAGCCCTCGGATCATTTTAGTAGCCCTCCTCTGGACCTGCTCCAACAGTTCCATGTCCTTCTTGTGCTGAGGGCTCCAGAGCTGGACACAGTACTCCAGGTGAGTATTATTATATTGCAGCTGGTTTCATTATCTATCTGAAATTAGATTACTGTAGCACCTAAGCTGCTGTGTTGGTTGTTGAACAGCTAATATCCCACTTCTGCCATATGTGGCAGAGAATCTTTGGCACTGTTGAAGTCAGCAAGTAAACATGCCCCTCTTGACTGAAAGTCTCCATAATATCATTTCTTTCCCCAGAATTACTTACCCGTTTAAACTTAAAGGGTAGCTCTACAAGGTACTACAATCTCTGTGTAATGATACTCAGGAGCAGTACTAACCACTTCTGGTCAAGCATATGAAGCAATATGCATCATTTGCACCCTGTTCTGCCTTAGCTAACTTATCTTCTTCCCCACTGGTAGAGGTAATATCGCTTCTGAGTCCTGTGATTGCTCTGTCAGTTCAAACAAACCTATACTGTAATGAATTTGAAACCTTTCCCAACGTAGCGTTTTCTTACATCTCCTGCACTGTTCCCAACAGACTGGGTATTCTTCTTACTGGTTTTGTCTTGGTTTCTGTAAGCATATGCATTTGACCAACCTATCTGCCTATCAGCTTGGTTTAGTTTTGTTTCGTCAGTGTTTTTTAGCTTAAGCGTGTTTATGCATGCTGCACTAATGGCCGCTTGAAACCTTTCCCAACGTAGCATTTTCTT